ATTACAGAGTCATTAGGAGCACTCCACAAGGTGGTGTTCTCTCTCCCCTGCTCTGGATTACGGTTGTAAACGACCTTCTAGAGACTCTGGAAAAATTGGGCTGTCGGGTGATCGCCTATGAAGATGATGTGAAACTTTTGGTTAAGGGACGATTTCTATACACCTTTTTTGATCTGGCTCAAAGTTACCTGAACCAGGTAACTATTTTGGTGGGCGATCAACGGTGGCTGTCGTGGAAGCCTAATATTGTGGAAAGGGTAAGAAAGTTTTCGGTTGCCTTGTACTGCTGTAGGGGGTCTATAGGTAAAATGTGAGGTCTCTCGCCCAAATGAATTCATTAGCTCTAGGTGGAACTCACTCGAGAAGGCTACACTTGTAAAATAGGAATTAGCTGAGCATTAGGAGTCACACCTACACTGGCGCTTAACATATATATATATATTGAATACGGCGCCAGCTTTTAGGCTAAGGGAAATCTGGTCATTTTGTGACATAAAAAAGGAAAAGAAGACGTTTCTCTGCTGCAGCAAATCTTTTTATAGGACACTTTAAAACACATGCCCTCTCAAGGGATAGTTATGTGGGTTCTGACAGGCCATTGTGCGATTGGTATTCATGCGGTGAGACTAGGAATTTCAACTGTCCTTTTTTATTAGCTGTCAAGAGGAAGATGAAGTGATATCATCTCCACACTTTCTTTTAGACTGTCCAACCCTCGCGAGGCTAAGATTTCGCTCGCACTTCTGAACAAACACTGAGCTCTCAGGGATCGAAATGGGCTGCATTCGAAATTTCGTAATCAGCTCGCGTCGTTAATTTAACCCAACCTAACCTGTACTTCTTTGAGCTATGAAATAGTTGGTCACATTAGGTATGCATGACCTAATGACAGTTAAAACAGATAGTAACACGAATACATAAAAAGCGGAAGGAAACACGAACTATTCAGAACGAAAAATGATACTGAAGATGGCACAACGCCGAAACCGGTTTGTCTCCAAACCAAATTTGACAAGGGATGACGAAAAATCGTTCCACAATACGTTAAATCTTCATATGAAATTCTACTTCCTTCTCCAAAATGCTTGCAGAGATTTGCTGTATGAAACTTTCACTCGTATGGGAGAGACCACAGAACCTTTTGAATTATATTTCACCATGAGTATCGAATAGATTTTGTATAACTTGATACCAAGTTCCGGTACTCTACTATAAACACTTCCAGAGATACACAGTATGAAAATTTTCATGTGAGGTGCCATGCCTCATGCAAACATGCGGAACTTTTGGAAATATGTATGTAGTTCTGATTGCGTTTGGCAAGCGTCCATACACCTTTTCTATATATACGGTATAGAAGGGAATTGAATAAATTTCACACCGTTATTCTTGCAGTTCGCCCTTGTATTCCAACTACCTTTAAATGCGCAACTCACTTTTTAAGGTAATTTTTTTGTTTTTGAAATTTTGAAGTGTTTTTAAATAAATGAAGTTGGTAGCACAACTATGATGCAAAAGTCAAAAAAAAACATTTATGTCAGAAACTTAATTTGGCCGAGAAAAAAAAATTGAGTGAAACTATCTTTGTATGACATAGCATCGCATTGACTTAATAGTAAATATCGACACTTAAAAAAATTAGTGGATGACTGAACACCAGCGCAAAGCGTGCTGACTTGCAAATACAGCCACCACAAGTGAACGATACTTATAACATCTCATACTGCCGTCCCTAAATTGGCGCATCAAGCGCCAAACAACTGTCAAAAATCCTCATGCCCGTACAATTTGTATGGAGTATCCCACAATAACGCGGCGCTAGCGTCCAGCAAATGGAATTTTCATTTTTGACAAGGCGTTACGTGTTGAAGTTGGATGCAGAAGACGGAAAGAACAAAAAAGTGAAAGAGGCAACGAGAATAAAATTGGAAGCAATGAGAAAACGTAAAAAATTACGCCCCTTGATTTGGAGATAGTGCGCGCTAACACTCGTTGATAATCGAAAACGCAACGCTTTGCGCTCCAATTTAGGGACGGCAGATACTAGCTTTGTTTCTCAACTGATAATTATCACAAATTATCACTAATTTCTGCTGGAAAGCGTTTCTTAACCCAAAAAACTAGCAGAAACTAGCAGCTCTCCCTCGATCTTACGCTCTTATTTTTTGGCTCTCCTGCTAATTTCTGCTAGTAAAATTTTTGCTAGCAGAAACTAGCAGCTGTCAAAATGAATAAACAGCTGTTAAAACGTAAACAACAGAGGTTAGGAAAAGTTGCTTTCATTTGTTTCTTTCCATTTCGAATCTGCACAGCAATGCCTTCAGGAGGATTGAATGAAATTCAAATGGCGATTATAGAAAGTAAATATTCTTTTAATTTTAATAGTTCATTTCACAGTAACCAATTTGTACTATATATTTGTATGAAAAAGCTGCATTTAGTTCAAGTGAGAGTGACTACGATGACGACGACATGGATTGTTTAATTGATCTAAATAACACCATTAAACAACACGTTCTACATTTAAAAGAAATAGTTGCTTTCGAAAAAAATGCGTAATTGCGTAAAAAACTATTTAGAAGAAATTGTGCAAACATATACGGAGCAGGAGTTTCGCTGCCATTTTAGAATTTCGCGGAGTTTATACGACCAAGTCTACGGGAAGACAAGCGCATTTCTGAGAAAATGCACGTTGCAATATATCTGTGGTTTGCTGGTCATGAAGCATGCAGCTTTAAGCTGATGCCAAATAAAACTTTGTAGCTTTGCGTGACATTTATAACTTTGCCAGCAAAGCGCCAGACGCAAAAGGTATGCCTAGGGACGTTCCGATACCATCAAAGTATCGATACCTACTCAAATGAGTTTACTCAAATCGGTATTGCGATACTACTTATATGAGTCAACCGAATGTATCGATACCTACTTATATCGATAATTTTTCATCCTTTTACATGCAACAAAGCGAAATTATTTTTCAGACGTTATCTGTGACATACTTTGAGTGGCACCTGAGTGTCAGATCGACCTATCTCGGCAGAGAGTCCGAAATTTTCAATATGTTTTCTGTTGAGGTATCGATATGTATGTATATTTCTTCATTAGTAGCACTAGAAGTAATACTTACTTAGACAAACAATTCAACCTTTGAAAGTTTCTCACAAAACTTTACGGCTACAATGCATTGCTTGCACTTTATTGTGGTATCACTAGCTTTGTAAAATTATATCCACACTTTACTGGCCGTCTCCACAGGATAAAATTTATTGCTGTCCAGCTGTAATTTTGGTCACTAGATATAAGTTATATCAGTGGCAATATTGGTGTGGGCTTTTTATATCTTGATATAAGCATTTGTAAGATAGCTTCTAAAACGCAGTTTTGCCGGATTTAATCACTTATAAAATTTAAAAAAATATACTATTTTACACCCAAGTACATAATAACAAATATTTTGACAGAAAACAGCTCAATTTTTGCTTTTATATTAAAATATCAATGATGTTGCCGACACGAAGTTTTCGTGCAAATGAAAATGTAGCTGTCAAACTACCAAATTGCCGGCAATAGATGGCAAGATATAAGCTCTGATATATATTGCTCTTGAAGAGCAATGAGCGGTCTCCATTGGCTATTTATATTCTAACATATGTATCAAGATATAAACTTTATCCTGTGGAGACGGGCAGTTAGATTTTGGCGGTGTCATTGCTTAAAGAAATTATTTTTCATAAAAACGAAGCAATTATTTTCCATAGAACAAATATTTTCGACAAGATATGGCCCCTGTTCAAATCGATTCGATACAAGTACTTTTCTTTCGATACCAAGTAGGTATCGAAACAACGATTCGAGTAAAAAAAGTAGTTGGTATTGAAACAAAAGTATCGAGTACATACTCGTATTTACTTGTATCGGAACATCCCTAGGTATGCCACAATGAACGCCAAGAAAACAATTTTGTGCCGCTTTTTTACTCGTCAAAGTTGCTGTGGATTTTATATGTTTTGCTTTAAAATTATCAGCAATGTAATTAATTTTTATGTTTCTGTATGAAACTCGAATTGGGACCGAACAAAATAAATATTAAACCGGCTGATTGTCAAAGCGCGCAAAAATATGGGAGTTGGCCATCTTTTCGCTTCGCGCTGCAGCTTCAACGATTTATGTGGCATGCTTTTTGCATTTTCATACAATTCATCTTATCTGTCGAAACGAATCTGTCACGTATAGCGAAGCAAAAGTTTTATGTGGCATCAGCTTTAGGGACCTGGGCGACCGTTTTGATGTTGCATTAGCAACAGTATGCCGAGTCATAAAGCGGGTCACATTGTATGGCTGACTTCCAAAACGTATCAATACAATGTTTGGAAACTGTTATACTGCGGTATTCAAACTATTTTTATATGCAGAGTTGCGACACATTGCAATCATATACATTGCATATTTTAAATATTCAATACAGCAATGAACAATTTCTCTGAATTTTCCATTTTTAAAACACCAATGGTAACCAATAACAAACGAGGTATCAACTTTGTTTCTGATGCGCTGATTGCTGTAGCGATGCGTTTCGATAACTTTTCGGATACGTTTTGGAAAAGTATACATTGTCAATATTTTGTAGTTCGGCGTTATGGAACATTTTGCTTTGTACGTATGCAAAGCAATTGACAGGCTGACTTCCAAAACGTCAATTGCTTTGAATACGTACAAAGTATAAGGTTCCATAACGCCGAACTACAAAATATTGACAATGTATACTGTTCCAAAACGCAGCCGAAAAGTTATCGAAACGCATCGCTCGAGCAATCAGCGCATCAGAAACAAAGTTGATGCTTCGTTTGTTATTGGTTAGCATTGGTGTTTTAGAAATGGAAAATTCAGAAAAATTGTTCATTGCTGTATTGAATATTTAAAATATGCAATGTATATGGTTGCAATGTGTCGCAACTCTGCATATACAAACAGTTTGAATACCGCAGTATAACAGTGTCCAAACATTGTATTGATACGTTTTGGAAGTCAGCCACATTTTGGAAGTCAGCCTATGTTAGTTCTCTAAGCACGCAATACATAAAATGGCCTAGTGAGGCGAAGAAACTGGAGACTAGTAATATTTTTGAAGAGAAGTGTGGCTTTTCTAAAGCAATAGGTAATGTACATACATTGATAAAAATGAAAAGCGTTAATTAAATACAATGTTCTCATTTAGGTTACATCGATGGAACTCACATCGTCATCGACCCACCACAAACTAGGAAAGATTACTACATTAATCGAAAGGGCAAATATAGCTTATGCTTGCAAGGTGTCTGTGACGAAAAAAAGAAGTTTATTAGTATTTTTGTAGGATACCCGGGTTCGTCGCACAATAGTTGGGTTTTTCAAAACTCGCGCCTGCACAACAACCTTTCGGAAATATGTGGAGGTAATAATAGTGTATATGGATATGTATATCTATTTATTTATTTCAAAATATACTAATAAACAAATTTCAGTGTAATAGTTTGAAAGTGGTTCCCAACTTTTATTATATAAGTCTTTGAATAATAGTTATAAATGACTCAAAAAATTTGTATCTTACTAAAATAATTGTTGACTGGATTTTAATCTTTTCTTTTATAATAGTTATGTCTTTGATATAAACACTTATGGCCTTATTCATAAAAAAATTAAATAGGTTTCAATAGCTTTACAAATTGACGGTTTCATACATTTTTCAATTTATAAACCTTTTTTAAATCTACTTTATTTTTTATAAATAAGGATCTTAGATTGGATGATGAAAATAAATATATTTATTCTTTAACAGGTTATCAATTTCAGAATATTATTTACTGGCCGATTCCGCATATCCGTGCACTTCTAATGTAGTCACGCCCTATCGCGACAATGGGCACTTAACACACCAGCAGAAAAGGTTCAACATTAAGCTGAGCTCTGGGCGAGTGGCAATAGAGCATACCTTCGGCATACTGAAGCAGCGATTCCGGCAATTATATTATTGCAAGCTTGGTGTTGAAAAGCTGTGCCATTTTATACGCACATGTTGTGTTCTTCATAATATCGCCAACCAAGATGATTTAGAGTTCCATATGGGGGAAACTTCAGAAACAGAAGAGGGTGTGGAAGGATACGTTCATACTTCAGCAAATTTAAGAGGAAACACCGTGAGAGAAGCTGTATCCCGAGAAATCCTATCACGCTAAAGCATGTACATAAAGATTCTGAACAAAAATTTTAAAATTTTGAAGGCGTTTTTTCGAAATTTGTTAAATTTTCGTGAACTGTGCACAAAGTTTTAAACTGTGACTTATGTGGTTTGTGGTATAGAATCCATTATATTTTTATAAATAAAGAAAAAAATATATAACACAAAACATTGTGAATCTTGTTAAAACTAAAAAAGTTTGATATTTACGTAAGCGCCACTGTATGTGTGTATGTACATCGTTTTACCTTTTTGTAATCTTTAATTGCAAGTTTTTTAATAAAATGTATGGCATCCAAAATTTCACTTAAATCAAATACTTATGTTTGTGGTTTTACAGGATTTCAAGTTTTATTTCACATTTCAATTTTTATCTAACTACTTAATAATAGAGAAAACGATTAATTAATTAAAAAGAGAAGTGTATGTATAAGATAAAACACACACTTGTCATCAACTGATTAAGTCACATATTTTGATAAATTTTAGCTATTTTTATTTTGCTTATTTACTGTTTATTATTTTTCCATAAAAGTCTCATTATATAACAAACCCCATATAAATCCACATTTCAAACTTCTCACAAAAATTATAAAAAATCTGCAAAGTTTCAGCTAAATTTTCAACTTTTTCTTCAGATTTTTTAGAATTTTGAGTATGCAGTTTAATAGCCCATTAAATTCCAGGGTAATAATGTGCAAGTTTATATATTTTGTATTGCAAAAATTTGTAATGCGGTCAGAAAAAAATTATTAAAAATCAACGCGATTCTTTAGCTATTTAAAACTTGCACATTATTACCCTGGAATTTAATGGGCTATTTAATGCATACTCAAAATTCTGATAAACCTGAAGAAAAAGTTGAAAATTTAGCTGAAACTTTGCAGATTTTTTATAATTTTTGTAAGAAGTTCGAAATGTTGATTTATGTGGTGCTGGTTATGTGATGTGCCAGACTTTTATAAAAAAATTATAAACATTGAATAAACAGAAGAAAAATAGCCAAAATCTATCAAAATGTTGATGACTTAATCAGCTACTAAAATAGTACTACTTTATCATGTCCTGTTTTAGTGAAGCTTAGTATTTTTATATCGCCTCTCTAAGCTATAAAACTTGGTCTCCACCTGCTGGCTGGTGAACATGTAGCCTGCTGCGCACATCCTTTCCGAAATATTGACCCACATTTTCTTTTTGCTTTTCACGTCCATACATTTACCAACCCTTGGCATAAGCTCCTTTAGCAAGGACGACAACAGTTTTGTGGGAGCCTCCAACCATTCATTTCGAAATTGTGATAAGCTTCCACTTGCTTGCGGTTGAGTTTCTTCGCTATCCTGAAAGTGCAAAGGGATTTCGTTAAATATTAAACCTTTAATAACACTATCTATACTCACTTCTCTTGGTGGAATAAAAACTAAATTGTCGACTTGCCCCCGCTCCTCCACTATTTTTGCTATCATCTATTTTCGATAACAGTCATCTATATTAATTATAGATTAATTGATAATCTGTGAAATTTTTATTACTCAATTATATTCATATATACATATATTCATATACTTACCAGTTTGCACTCGCTTACAGGTTCTTGGAGATAAAGTTACTTCAAGTCGGGAAGGTTCCATTTTTATTTTTTTTAATAAAATTCTTTAACTTTAATTTAACTTTAAAATTGCAAAAAAATCGCGCCAAATTTGTCAAATTCCCCGATCAGCTGTTTACTTGCTAATTTCTGCTAGTTTTGCGTTTCTTTACTTTTTCTTTATTTCGCTCTCTGTGAGCGTAATTCTCTAAATTTTCTCATTCTTCTTCTTCCTGATAATTATCTGCTAGAAAAGAAAAGAAAGAAAGCCACTGATATTGACTTCGGCAAACCAGTATTCCGAATAGACATGCACGAAACCAGCAATCGCCGTATTTGGTCGACTGCCGAAAGCATCATACTGCATTTGGACGGTTGCCGGAAGCATGAGATCTCATTTGAACGGTTGGCGAAGGCAAGACGGCGCAGTTAATTTGTTACAGAAGTCGTAATAGTTGTGTTTGTTTACAAATTATCCAGTAACTTGCCAGCAACTCTCCGGTAACTTAATTTCTGAGAATTCGCTCTCATTGAAAATGCAAATCCAGTAATAATTTGAAAGTTTCATGAACAGCTGATGAATTGGTTGTTTATTCGCAGCAAATTCCTAATAAAACAATGAGGTTCTTCACACTTGCCTTGTTTTCAGGTTATCTGGTTAAATTTATTATTGTGTAGCGTATTTTATTATTGTAAAAAAATAACTACATAACCAGATAACCAGGCAAGCGTAAACAACCTCATTGTGTAGTGTATTTTATTGTTGCAAATTGAATAAAAAATATAACCACATAACCATTCGCATGCTATGGGGATCCGCCTTAAGTACGAAGTGCTCTAACAAAGGAGAGGAAACAACGCAACGAAATTTCAAGTAAAATGAAAATGCATTTCTATTCAATTTCTATTTATATAAATTAAAAATTCCTGAGGCAGTATTTATTTGCGTGATTTTCCATTGGAAGCCCAATTTTGTCATTATCTACAGTCTTTTGTCATTTGACAGTCTACATAAAATCGCTCGGAAAAAAGTCCGGACATTAGGCTAGTAAGTAAGAACTCAAAATTACTTTGCAATGCCTGAGGACCGCTGAAAAGAAAGTTTTGGGCAGTCTCGAGCTTCGGCGGGCCTGTAATGAAGCATAGAGAATATCATGTACTTGTCTCACTCACAATATAACCTAGTCTTTAGAAACTAAAAATATGCTCTTATATTTTCCAGCAACGAGGTCTTTCGACGATTGGATGAATATTCTGCAAGCTTGGTCATTGAACACATCACTTCCGAACATTCAGGCAACTATTCTTGTATTGCGAGTAACGTCGCCGGGATGGAGCGTTTCACAGTACCATTGACAGTAAATGTTCCTCCCAAATGGGTACTAGAACCAAAAGATTCTAGTGCCCAAGCCGGTCAAGATGTTTGGCTGCATTGCCAGTCTTCTGGATATCCGAAGCCTGCAATTACATGGAAAAAAGCTATTGGACCTACTCCAGGGGAATACAAAGACTTTTTGTATGAGCCGACCGTGCAGCTCTTTCCAAATGGTACAATATTCTTTAAGAAGATCAGCAAGGAGTCGCAGGGCCATTTTCTTTGCGAGTCAAAAAACAACATCGGTTCAGGTGTAAGCAAAGTCATCTTCCTCAAAGTGAATGGTAAGTGATGCATATTTAAATGTCAACATCATAAATATAATAGTACCAACATATTTGGAAAATTTTAAAATTCAGTCGCGATGAGAAATTTACAATATTCGTATTACAAATACCAATTTTAAACATGGCAATCAATATTTTAAACAGAAATTTATTCTTTTATTCTTTTGTCTGCTGTTTTTTTTTCAAACTTTCCTTCTTTGCTTTTTATTTCGATTATTGAAATCATCGTTATAATTATTTTATTACTATCGCTTGAGAGTAGTGCTGCAAAAACATCGATGTTTGAAACTATCGATTTTTCGATGTTTTTGCCACTAAAATATCGATAGTATCGATACTATCGTGGTTTCTTGAGAATTTTAACTTTTTGTTTCAAGCTGAAATCCTTATCAATTAACAAACATAATTTTTTAATAAATTACATTTATTATTTTAAAATTATCCAATAATTAATTTAAATATTAATTAAACTTGTATTTAAGGTCACATTTAATTTGTAATTATATAAAAGTATTCATAAAGCAACAACACTATTAATATGTGTTATAAATTATGTCTTATTAAATAAATTAAAGGCATTAATCCAGGGTACACTTCAGGTTTTTATTCTTAATTTTCCCAATTAGAGATCGCACTGACAAAATCTATTTGTTAGTAATAACCAGGGCTGAAGAAAATAAGCAAGAAACAAATCCGTTTTAAGCGCTTAGATAAGCACAAAAACATTGGTAAATATACTCGCAGAATAACAAAAATTAGGTACAGTTTAATGTGATTTTATTCAGTTTACTTCAAGTATTGAAAAATTACAATGGACACACTAGTTTTGCTCGATATTCTCAAATAATGGAGATCTGCGTTGGTTGGTCTTAATTTTTTTAAATATTCGTTATTCGGTATTCAATGCTGCCCGCAGAGACAAACCATTGGTATTAATTTTTTATATCCAAGCAGAAACGAAATTAAAGTTACGGGTTAATAAAAACTAGATCTCTTTTTATATGTTATTATTTTACTTGATACAAATATTTCAAGGTAAAACTGCTCGCTCAATTCGTCAGCCATCATTTATTTTTTGAAGTTTATCCACTTTATAAGATTAAAATTTTGGGAGCAACTGAAGTGAGCAATGGAAGATTGAAAATTTGAAAACATTTTTGTTATGTTAGCAAACTTCATAAATGTTCAGGCTGTCTCGCGGCGGATTCTTCAAATTTTTATATCATGATTATTTTCGAACATTTATTTAGTTCGACGAATAAAAAAAGCCCAAGAAATGGTCAAGAAAAATTTATAGATATTTAATTATATTTAATTATCTTAAGCAGTACGAAGTTATTAAGAAATTCGCTACGCTTTCTACTATGGTTTGCTAAAGTTTGTTTGTGAAGAGTACCAGGTACCCTTGTTTTCAACAGAAATATATGCCCGTTCCATTATTTCGTAAGGAAAAAGTAAGACAGCAGGCTGTAAGCTTAAACTTTTTGGCCCTGGTAATAACTTCCCTGAACACTTATTGTGAGGCTTTAGCGTTCTGTTAAAGATTATGAGTTGATAACGCTTTAGTTTTTATACTTCTTGCCTGCCCCAAATCAGCAACAGATAAACTTTCCAATGATGGCATATCCTCTAAAAACATCGATAGTAAGAAAAACATCGATGTTTTCAAAAAAATATTTAAACATCGATACTATCGATAGTGCTCCGATGTTTTTGCAGCTCTACTTGAGAGTGTAATTTTGCTATTTGACAGTTTTAAAGGTTTTAGTCTGAAAATCGCTGGAACAAATATTTTGAGGAATTATTTCATTTTATCACTTTCTTTGGTGTTTTAATTAAAAAAATGGTTGATTGTGAAAGAAAAGATCACTATGTATTAAGCTCTACCAAGAATTACAGCGGACGACGGCAAAGCGGTGGGCGGTAAGTGAACATCTGTATAGTTGCCGCAGTGAAACCCGTCAGAGTAAACACAATTGCGGCCCACGACGGCTTCCGTCAGTTGTCATTTTGATTTGAAAATTTTCATTAAAATTAGATATTTTTTCGGTAGGTGCGTGTATGTAGATTTGCTTGAAATAAAAATGGATGAAAACATTGCCAAACTTGTGAAATTAATACAAATTACTACAATCAACATTGTGCCGTCCCCGCTGGGCGGTAAAAATAGAAATAAATTTAAATCAACGGAAAAACTTCGGCGGTAAAAACGCTGCCGCCGCAATTATGGGCCACTCCATATGCCTTTGTGAGTTTTTATTTTGACAGCAGTTAACCGACGACCGCTTTACCGTAGTCCGCTGCAATTCTGGGTAGAGCCAAGGTAATAGCAGTTGAGCAAACACAACCCTGCCATGTATTTTGTTGTTGCTTGAGAAACCTAGAATGTCAAAACAGAAAGAAATGTAAGCACGTTCGACCAATCAAAAGCAAACGAAAAGGATGCTAATTTATGTGTATGTGAATGTGTATATGAATGTAGCAAAGTTTGACAGTTCAGATTTTTTACGAAATAGAAAAAAATCAAAACTGCAGCCTTGCTGCTACTACCTCTTTAGTGTGCCTCGGGTAGAGCCATTGATGTCAGTACGACTAGGGATGGGTAAATTCGATATTCGAAGCTTCGAGATTCGAATTTTAATCGAACTTTAGCTCTAAAATTACGAATTTTTGAATTCGAACTTTGTGGTGCTAAAATTCGGATAAAATCGAATTTTTCTAGATAAAATCGAATTTCATCTTCATTTGCAAAAAATCAGCTCTGCAACTTTCTTGTTTCTGACAAAATTTAGCATCACTGTGTGTGGCACCATATTTGCATTAGGGCTGCAAGCCTATGAAATATATCGACGTTTTTTCGATCTGAGGCAACAAAATATCGATGTATCCTGTATAAAAATCGATATTTTTGATGCAGCGAATGAATTAAAAATATACAAGAAAATGGAATAATTGGAACTTCGATAAATGTGGTGACGTGCAATAATGTCAATGACATTAATATTCACTTTTCAATTGTATATCAATGTCAGCGGCATTAATTCGATTGACATTAATGCACGTCACCATAAATGTTTAAGTATTAACTCACAGTGAAATGTATTTACAGTTAAACATACCAGCTATACAAATAAGTTCATAAAAAATAAATAATATTTCAGATGCTTTCTGATCTTAAAACTTTATCTAATGTCTGGTTTTCATTATGTCGAAATAACTGACATCAAAAACTGCTTTAACTAACAGCTGTTCACTTGGTGTCAAATACATCATAAAAACTGACCAAATGTAGATATCGCAGTGCATGTCAAAGGCTGTCGTAAAATTTTTTGTGGCAGGTGATTGACGTTCCATTTTCCAACACTGATGTCAAATGTGAAGTGAAATTTTTGGCATGAGTCAAAATTACCGGCCGTTTAGCTATGGACAAACCAAAAATGTGGCTGGGTAGAACTCTTCATGCCCTATTATCTATTTTGTTAATTGTTTACTTAAAGATCTCGCTTTCAAAAGCAAAATCATACGTTGTCATTAAATGTAAGACTTTTTTAATAAACATACGTATTATTGCATATGTATATAACGTGAAGCATGCAAAGATTTCTTTGTTTTTTTTTAAGCAAGAAAAATAAATGAAATCATGTTATACGCCCCAAAAAATTAGTTTCAATATGCTACATTTGCCAAATTTTTGGATTTTTTAGATATTTTTTTGAAAAAAAATGTTTATTTGTATTTATTTTTGGTTGTGAAGCAAAAAAGAGCGATATGGATAGTTAATCATATTAATATAAGTTCATCTGAATCTCTTTTTCGATTTGAGTTGTCATTCTTACAAACAAACTTTTAAATTTTCAGAATCTTTTTTTGAAAATTCGAAAAAATTCGAACTAAGTCGAATTTGCACCACCAAATTTCGAATCGAATAATCGAATGGTTGGGCAATGTTCGAAATTCGGAAAAAATCGAATTTCAACCCGCCACTACCCATCGCTAGTACGTAGTACGTAGTAGTCTTAATTGTGGCATGAATTTTAAAAGTAGTAGAAAGGGGGGGGGGGGGGGGGGGGAATAAGCAGCTTTGGAAAATGTCCTAAAATTAGTATAAATGATTTGGATGGGTTATAGGTACGTGTACATGTATAAATCGAAATTGTAGAGGTGGTCCTTTAAGCAATACCTCATAACCAGGGCCGAAGAAAATAAGCAAGAAAAAATTTAATTTTAAGCGCTTAGATAAGCACGCAAAACCACAAAATTTAAGTACAGTTTAATGTTTTGTTTTCTAAACAGTTTATTTAAAGTATTAAAAAATAAGCAGAACTGGCGTTATACGGAAGGCCCACGCCAGACTAAAAGCGTACCGGGAGGTTACAACCATACAAGGTATAGAGCAATAATAAACCTCCCAAAGAGAGGGTAAGGATATTGACAGGTTTTCTGACGGGTCACTGCAGACAGAGAGGTCACTTGCACAAGCTGGGGATCTGGTCAAAGGACCCATGTCGGTTCTGCGATGTGACTGAGAGGCAGTTGCGAGAAGACGAGAGAGGCACCTACGCCAACACTGGACAAGTGAGGAAGTCATACAATCGCTAACCTCCTTAGATCTCCTTAAATTTCTGGGTTCTCTGGGATTAGATGAGGTACTGTAAACGGTTGAGGGCACAATAGATCCTTTGGTAGCAGTGAATTCCTCTACTTAATCTATATATCTATCTATCTAAGGGTTAATAAAAACAAAATATGTTTTTATGTTATTATTTGTAAATTTTTTTTTAGTTCGACGAATAAAAAACCCCCAAGAAATGGTCAAGAAAAATTTATTGAGCCAAATTTTCTTAAGCAGTTCGAAGCTTTCAAGCAATTTTTCTATGCTTTCTACATACTATGGTTTGCAAAGTTTGCTTGTGAAGATTACAAGGCACCCTTGTTTTCAACAGAAATTTCCATTATTCCGGAAGGAAAATGTGAGACAGCAGGCTGTAAGATATCAGATGCAATTTATTTCTTCACCGTTTTCTTAAAAGTCCGTACTTAGCTTTATACATTGAAATAAGCAT